CAATACTTGGGATATTAATATTATGATGTAAACACACACTTTTTTCAACATTTTCAATCTAGGCGTGTTTCTATTCTCTCTAAATATAAGTTTCCATCTTGTTGTAACTGCACATGTTTCATATGTCAAAAAACACTCAAGCCAACTACGTACTGTATTTTTTTACGTAAACCTAGGTCGTCAAGTTAACAAGAAACTGTTGTCAAGCTTATCTTGCACATCTAAACGTGTGTGGTCGTACGTAGAAAATAAATCACGACCTAACCACCTGCAGTGACTGTCACCCTTGACCATCCCCTACATGACACTACAGGTTTTATGACAGTCGTTCAGCCCGGGGACGATTTGGAAACTAAGAGGGTTGGAGGGTTTTATAGTTTTGAAATGAACTATTGAGTGACAATGAGTAAAAACCCTCCTCGGGTGCAATAAATACGTGTTCGTTTGTCCAAATATTTTTGAAACCCTTTCTACGTTAGCCTACTATCTGGAAAGACAATGAATAACAACACGATGTAGTTTCAACGTTATCTGTTACTGTACTATTCTAACCATTAATTTTTTTTATAAATGCACGACAAAAGCAAATGATAACGCAATTACTAAGCTTGAGGTACCGTACGTTGAGAGTGACGGAATCCCGTAACCAAATCGAACTATTTCTACGAATGTTTGAGTGTTCAGAAAATAACATCATCATCGCCATCGACCGAGATGCCAACACTACCACCATTGACTATATAGTCAATGCTACCACTAACAGCTGATGAAAATACCCACAACCCCCACATCAAAGGCACCGAAAAGACATTGGAGCGGAAACTTGAAGCCGATCAGTTTACCACAAGGGCTTTGACGAATCCGTCAGACTCATCCCATTTAATTTTCCTAATGTCAAGCTAGCATTAAACCTGACATTTAGCTGGTGGGCGCGCGTGCGTACAAGAGTACATCCGGCTGCAACGCCATCTGCCGGCACTCCCACATGCACCTTCTTCTTACTCTCGCCAACAATATGCACGACACGAGTTTTTACATCGAACATCTGACGCAGAACGATTCCGAAGAAGACCACATGTTGGGGGTTTTTAAGATTTAAGTACTCTTAACACGATATTTGGATGAGTGGCTCTACTGGGTTTAAGTTTTCTAAACTCTGTGAAACGAAATCTTGATAGAAATGTATTTTCATTACCGTATTTATTATAACCATTATCAGCTATGATATTGAACGACCCCATAACTTAGCCATCCCTACGACTCTAAAATCATGTTATATTCGGAGTTTTTAGGAACTTAACTTCTCGTCCAGTACAGTACCGTACCTAGACCTATCTAAAGTCTATGGTTAACGTATTTTTTATTTAGCACAAAATTTCGATTCAATATTAGTGCCATTTTCTCTCATTAGACCAAATTTTTAAAATTATCAAAAATACGATGAACTCTCAGTTTGTAAACTTGAATGACCTTACCAAATTACAACAGAGGCGAATACCCTAGATGAAGAAAAGTGAATCCATACTTCAATCGGGTTTCCGGTCTCCAGCTAATTTGTTTAAAAATTACCATTGCAGACGACATAATCATCTAAATCAAGAGGATTGTTGTCAAGAGGATATTGAAGAGTTAAGAGGTAATAATTATTGGAGAGTAAAGAATCCTCATCTAAATTGGGCACTAGACGTTATAATTATCTAGAATTTACAACAGAAAATAAACCAATGCTAATAAATTTCTGGGTTTTATAACCCACATAGGCATATATGCCACACTTAAAAATTTCTCTTAACATTTCCGTTATGTTTATGTTTTGTAGGCCCTGATCGCAGTCGAGCACGCAAGTTCGAGCACAGTTTCTCTTGAATACAAATTGTGCACTAGGTGTCGATTGTAGGCGTGGACGCTACCGCTACAGGGTGTGATGTTATGTGTTATGCCGGCGATGATTGCCATGCCCGGAGCACGATGACGGAGCGCTGTTGCCACATCGTGCACTGGGCGCCCAATAGACGTCCACTAGTCCCAACATAGACTACACAATTTTTTTTTATTCATGTTGAAAAGACGACATTAAGAAACTACATCGTTTTAACATTGGCAGCAAAATGTGTTCATCATTCATGGATAGCATTTGACATTGTTTTCACCCCCCCCCCCCCCCCCCCCGCCCATGGTCAATTCAAATTGGTAACAAATATATATCAATCGCAGCAAACCTGCATTCTAAGAGAATTTAAATTTGTCTGATTGGATTTTTACCCAAATATTTCCATAAACTAGACATAGGCTAGTTGTTCCCCATTTAGATAATAGTCCAGGAGCTGAGGGGGTTTGAGCATGTATGTAAGTAGTACCTACGCAATTTTATTGCTGATTATTGTAATATGGATATCGCCTATGTATCACCACGGTCTGAAGGAAAAATGAATTTAAAACAATGTCTATAGGCTACAATACAGTGTTTTATTTAGGCTAAAAATGTTACAATGTGTTAGGAAAGTAGAGAGGTGCTCGGTGCTACACCTTGCTGTTTACATATAATTGCGCTTATATTTTAGCCCTGAATTAATTTAAGGAACCGTTTCAGTTGACCCGGGTTTCGGTTAACCGGGGTACTACTGTATACAAAATTACTTATTTGTTTTTTATGCTCTAACTTACACGATGGCTGTAATAAAAATGGACATGTTTATATTTTAAGGAAAAATTATTATTGAAAACCCTAATTTTTTATTATTTTTAAAACCACTAAGTATTAGGTAGGCTACCGGTACTCCATTACCATGACCCAATCTAGTTGGTTTAGAACTCTTAAGTTAAGTTCATCCTGCCCTACACCTTCAAGCCAAATTTAATCCAAAACGACCCAAAATTACTCGAGTTAGGCTAATCGTGTTCACGCACACATAATAGGCCTATACGTAGGCCTACATGAAAATTTGAAAGAATAGTGTTTTTTGGCTCTGGGGACACCAAAATGAAAAAGTAAATCGGTCCCGGGTCTAGGTCTTACCGTGCCACCTACTGTCACAGAAAACGTACTATAGTAGTACGTTTTCTGTGCTACTGTAGGCCTAAGGGAACAGTCCAGACTCTGTAGTTACAATGTAAGCTAATGTCGACCTTATGACTGATATCCACTGACAAGTGACATCTGGGTCTAAAAACGATCTTAAATTACAGAAAGTGTGAAAAATTCAAAAGTGTACAGTAGGTTGTTAAGTTATTGTTAAAACAGAGTCTTGCACAATGATTTACAATCACTATGAAAAATATTGTAAAAAAAGATCGGGATGAGGCATGACATACTTAGAGTTGAAAGTTACTGTACGCAGGTTTACAATTGGGTAGACTTAAAAAAGAGAAAGGCTTGGATCCTTATTTAATTTAGTGGCTGACTAGTTGTTTCTTCAAGTAATAATCAGACTCAAAACATTATTAGGTTACCTAAAACAATTGGCCTAAGTTGTAGCAAGATACAAACTCAATGAGGGCACAATTTTGACAAACTCTAAAAGTCTAAACCTAGACCTACACTTGTTCAATTCGGCTTCTCAGTTCAAGACTGGATCCATCTAAAATAGGCCTATCGTTCAAACACATATCGCCGCACATCACGTCGTTTGAAAAAAACCGTAGCATACACATGGTCAATTCAGCTGACGATACAGCTTTCATATTAAATTGACAAGCCAAATTTCTAGTGTACGTAACCTACTTCTTATGTTGACAGGCTTTACCTCATAGGCTTTGTTTGAAAAGCTTTAACTTAAATTACGGTACTGCATATCAAGTTAGGAACAGTTACAAAGGTGTTGATCACAAATCATAAAGAATGAGATGTAAAAACTAGTGAGCATTGTCTTTTTCTCACTTGTGTTAAAATCGTTTTGGAGAAAATCCGGGGCACTATAGGCTATTATTGTCTCTCTCTGCCCCCCCCCCCCCCTCACGGCCAAGTTAGGCTAATAGACCTAGCCTATAAAGTTACTGGAATCTTTTTTAGTGTCACAGGACAAATATTCTTCCGAGACAAACTTTAGTGTATTGTGACAAAACCCGGAACAATCCCGGTCATCCAGATCATTAAATCACTCCACTGTTGTTTTCTGTATTAAAAAAACTTATTTTCCGTTCTAAAAATATAGGCGGTTTGAGAGAAGGTTCTCCCGTCCACTTTTTTGCGTTGATGTTAGGTTCAGCTGATTGACGTTTTGACAAATCTCAGCTGTTGAGCAATGCCTTAATCGTAGAATCAAGACGTGGAGGGGATATTCCCTAAAACCACAAGTTAAGTTTTGTGAACTGAGTACCGGTATTGTACCTGAAAGTTTAGTAACTTTTATCAGTAAGTCCACAAGTTTACTTATGTTTCATGTTCTGAAAGAGTGTATTTGCAAACACACTAACAGCTTTTGAAACCAAGTTAGATAGACATCGTGGTTTTTAAACTTATCTTAAAATGTTTAATTCATTTATAAGCTGCTTACACCGATGAAACAAAAATAAACACGCAGAGGATAAGCGTCTGGTGACAGAACGTGGATAAGGCGTCCAGCAGTGCCGTCAGTGGGTTGTGGGCCCTGGAACACCATTACCAGTACCACAACCGACACGATGTACAGACATCGATGTTCTTGGTGTAGTGGATAGAATAAGTTAAGCCTACTCGGCTGATGTACAGGAGGTAGGCCTAGGTGATCAAATCCTATTGGTGACACTAACATTTTGTCAACGATTTTGCTTAGAATGCCGTTTCTTCTTAACTGTACATCTTTTGATAGAACGTGAGGCACTTATAATTTCATTTTATGAACAGAATTTAACCTTTATTCGATTTTTTCATTATCAGCAAGTTTGGTTAGTTCTAGGTTAGGTTATGACAGTAACTGCCGGACGCCTAATGTACGGCGTGGATTCCACGCGTATCTTCTGCCAAATAAATAACTAAGTTAACTTACAGTATATTACGGTTAGGATAATATTCCATTGCTTACCAAAACTTTGTTGAACCTTCTCTCAAGTTCATTCTGGTCTGGCATCGGCACTCTTGCCGATCGTATGCTGGCCCTAACATTGTTAGTTCTTGGGTACTCAACTGGAAGAGGAGGATTTTCAACTTTCGAACTCTGAGTACTCCCCATGTTTACACTGAAACGGCACAACAAAGCACTGTCACCCACATTACCTCGTTCGTCGAAGTACGAAAACAAACTACCACTTTGATATTTCACACAGACATGTGCGTAGCTAATCTAGATTCACAAGCACAACTTCATACTAACACAAACCAGATTTATCAAAACTCGACAGAAACAAGCATACGCGGACACGAACCTCGTTTGACAAACTTGCAACAGACGAACTGTTGTTGGATTGGAACTGGAAGAACAAAACAAACTACAAACTGTTGAAAACTGAAATGAGAAAAACAAAACAGACAGAAGAACTCTGGCGGCGCATGCAGACACTACCGTTTGGCGTTTACCGAACCAATCAGCATCTCCGTTTACTATATTTTCTAGCTGTGTGAAGCACGATTAAAAAACTGTCTAGAATAATCATGACGTTACCAATGATTATGTGTCAGCAGTTGTATATATATACATGTATATATATATATATGTATAACTATGTCATGAAAAGTTGACTGTATGATAATCAATATAATCCATAATAATTATGGGCCCTAGGAAGACGTGGAAAGCTTGCTCAGGAGCCGTTTAAAAATCGTGCATCAAAATATTAGAGGCATTCAAAAGTAGATAAATGTTGCATGTATTCCTCGACAGATATATGCCAGATATTGTTTGAGTGGCTTTAAAGCGGCTTCAACAATTTTATTCAAATGTTGTAAATATTTTTGTTTAGTTGTTATGATTTATTCTTAAGTTAGCTTATAGAATAGTATGGTGTAAAATATTGTATTTTGTAAAATATCGCATAAAATAATGACTTCCTGTTTCCCGCGGCCAGAGTTCCAATTTTTCAGTTCAACTGAGTCGTGATTAGTCTTCGATAATTCACCATATCCCAGACACACTATCCACTAGTATTCAGCGTAGCCTGACATTTCACACGTTCTTCTGCCATACTGGAGCGGATTGTTATGTTTTCTTCAATCGTCTCTATCTTATACCTTAGAGTAGTATGGCATAAAAAATAGTACATTAATCGTCCAAAATGTGTTTATTGGACTTCAATGGTATGGTAATCTCACACTCGACTTCATCGATTTTCAGCACTAGTTTCATAATATACTATTTCTAGCCTAAATCGTGATTGTGGTGCAGCCAATACCTCAGGAAAATTCGTATTTTGAACAATACTCAACTCATTTTGTAAATTTAAAAAGTTAACATGTTTTTATAACAAGCCTCAACAGTATACTAGCTTTGTATCCAATAGTCAATGAAACTAGCAAATAATTACAATATTCAGCACAAAGAGAAAAACATCAGTTTACTATTGCGCAAAGATTAGTCATCTCTGCCGAAAGATTACTGGATATATATGTATATATATGGAAGTATATGCTATGCAATATAAAAAACGGATTTTTATCATCGACTGTAAAATAAATGAATCTGTTGTGGATTAATAGGCTAAAAATTTCTATCATAATAATAGATTGAACTTCCACTGAAAACTTAATAAAAGCCAAAATCTATCAGATTAAAATAAATCGTGAATTTCCTTTATATTGCTTTCACAATCGAAATCTTTCTTGTCAATAATTTTATTGTTAAATGCTTATTAGTTTAAGTCTTTATATAGTCATAGACTAAGCAACACAAAGTAGACATCTCATCCCCTTTTTAAATTTTGAAGCTCGTTTTTCCTATGGCTAGTTCATGTCTGGTGACTGTCAGACATGTGGTTGCTGCCAGTGTAGACGAAATTTTGTTTCTATTGTCTTAGGGTTAATTTCATGATTTGTGAAACTAGGGGACGAGTTATTGTTTATGATTAGATCGTTTTATTAGGTCAAACGCGGTTTTAAATTACTGAAAAAACAAAAAAACCTTCTGGGTTCAAACAACGTTGAAAAAAACCTGTAAAAAAACACGACTTTTAAGTGCACCGGACGGAACTACTGTAACAATAAAATTGGCTCCAGCTGTTCTAAGGATGAGAAATCTACCATGGATAAAACATACTCCCTTTTTAGTAGATTTCTCATCCTTATGGAACAGCTGGAGCCAATTTTATCGTTATAGTTCTGTGCGGGTACTGTAATTGATGTCGTGTTTTGTTTACAATTTTGTTTCTTGTTATTCCAGTCGTTTAAAACACCGTTTAACCAAATAAAACGATATAATCATAAACAATAACTCATCCGCTAGTTATATAACCAAACAGTAAAGCACAAATCATGAAATTAACTCTAAAATAATAGAAACAACATTTCATCGTCACTAGCCACCATCAGTGTCACCGGACATGAACTAGACACGAAAAACGAACTTCAAAATTTACAATGGGATGGGAAGTCTACTTTTGTTGGCTAGTCCATGAATCTACTAAAGGGTATGTTTTATCTATGTCATTGTATTTTGGTTAATGCCATTAATAAACTAATTGAATAGAATCGAAATAAACTACACACTGCACCGAGCCAACGGCTCGGTCTCCCGCGGTGCTTAGGAATAAACAAACAATATTTAAATAAATTAGCTGTATTTTAATTTTAACTTACTAGACAACCTTTAAGTCAACATTTAGATATATTTACCCAAAGCTGAAAGCTATGAATAGGGTAATAGAACACGATGTTTGACCAATGAGTAAAAATATTACAATATTCATATTGGAAATGTTTGAGTGCGCTGATGACGACAAAATGCTTTTATTATATAATTTACAAAAGTACAAAAAGAATTATAATCCTGTTGTAAAATCTGAATTCTCAAATGGAAACGGCCGAAACGGGTGCGTCTTTAACGACTAAATTGACTTAATGTTGTTGCTATTAAACAATTAATTATCTTATGTAAAATGTAGTTAATAAAAAAGAAAACGTTAATCTACTGGATTTTTTCTTCTAATTAGCATATTTTAAAATCAATGTTTATCAAAATAGGTTTTTACAAACACTCGGTATAAAAGATTTAATATGTAATAAGTAGTGAATAAAAAAAACCTCATGATTAACAAACCAGTCTGCGCAAATCATTAAACAAACCATAGGAAAAGAGAAGGATAAGAACAATTTGCTCAACTGATGATCAGCTGTTCTGTGTTCTCTAGGCCTAACTTCAAACTTCAAACAAGGGAAGGGAAGTAGGGTAGGAGATTGCGATTGCGTGGACTGGTTGGAGAATTGAATGAATAGTGCATGCATGTCTGTGAGAAAGTGTTTATATTTAGAAATGATGTAATGGTTTCAATTTCAATTGAAATTCCATCATAGAAGAAGAGCATAGATCGAAAAAAGCATTCGCAGCATTTGTTTGATTACTAGACTAAGTTCAATGAGTAACCGGATAATTATTAACAGTTAGAAATAAGTCTGGCATTTGTTTAGTTGTTGCCTGCATTTCAATCAAGTTGGATAAGACTATAATTTGAATCATGGGCCTTACGAACTTTCAAATAATTCTTGACAGCCCAACTGGAGCTTACTATGCTGGTACAAATGTCACTGGAAGGCTTCAATTTAAGCTAGACAAACCGAAGAAAATAAGAGGTTAGTTAAAAGTTAGTAACTTTTGCTGCTAAATGGGCGTCTCCCATCAACCTTGAGTCATCAAGTTAAAACAGGAACATTTTTGACTCTAACCTGATCTTAAGATCCTAAATCTTTACCTAACCTACTCACCAAGGTAACCTAACCATAGGCCTAACACTGAAGACCATGGTTCCAAATCATTTGGTTATTTTAAATTATGATTTATAAAAGCCAGTGTTTTTCATATTGTATTGTGCCTCCTCACAACTTTTAAGTTACATCACTGGCACTTTTTACGCTTTTTGTTAGACCTAGTGACAGGTCCAAACCAAATGTTTTAGGTCCTACTTAGGCTAGCGCAAGTAACGTCTACTAGGCCTACATCAATCAGGGTGTCCACATTCTGGAATGTCAGGGATAGTCATGGAAAAAATTCTGGTCATTGAAAGTCATGGAAATAGACAAAAAGTAATGGAAAGTCATGGAAATCCCCAATGATGAATGGATTTTAGGGGACCATTCAATGCTCTAGTCGGACCATTGTTTCATTTTTCAGGATGTTTCACAAATGTTTGACAATTCAATTTAGGCCTATTACAGTCGTGAGTTTTGAGTCTGTAATAGTTCATTGTTTTACCTATTGTACTCTATTGTTTTCTGTTACGGTAATACATGTTTCAGTATTTTCTGAGAAATAACTTGTCTAGGCAATATCATGTGTGTGTATGTTATATTATAATTTTCGAGTAAAGTTCGTGAGTCATGGAAATCAATGGTAAATGGTCATGGATAGTCATGGAAATTAATGACAAATTTTCTGTGGACACCCTGATCAATTAATGTAACTTAATTTGATTTTGGAATAATGCATGTAAGTTACCCACATAAAACCTGGAAGGTTCCATGTATAACTTACAAGGGTCAAAAAAATAATAATAAAAAACAAACTGTAAATCTTAGTCCTAACTTGCGCATTAATTAAGCCTGGTTTAAATTACTTTGGCAAATTTGTAATTTCTTTTTTACAGCAATTGTAATACAGTTCGTGGGAGTTGCGAAAACATCGTGGAGTGAGACTGAAAGCGTCAGAAATAATGATGGCAACACGGGGAATGAAATAGTCACCTTCACTGCAACTGAGGAATATTTCTCCAACAAATATAATCTTGCTGGAGGCCCAAACAGTATGTGTAACATTTTTATTGCTGGCTTATAACAATTACACTTACCAGCAGTTATAGTTTCCAATGGGTATTAATTTAATTGTATGTTCTAACTTCAAAGTTAATGTTGTTTTTAATATCACATAACAATTAACTTAGGTAAGTTACTGGATCCATGATTAAATTGTGTAGCCTAGAATGAAGGAGCGAACTATGTAAAACTTAGAATTGGTGTTGGCCTAAATACCTACATTTATGCAATGTGTTGCTAAATTGTCACCGGTTTTGACTCACATAAGTGTCATCGTCAGGCCGGTACAGATGTCTTCTCGCTTCATTCAGTAAATAAATGCGATCAGGAGGCTAAAATTCAATATAGGCTAACAAAACTTAGAAAATGAACAAAAATGCATTGTAGTTCACTCCTCTTTATGTCCAATCAAACTTGTTTTTACTGCAAATATTCTGAACTTGTCAAACCTTCGGTGGGGAAACCCTATTTTTCTCCATTAAATTGTGCATCACATTAAATAATTTCTCAGACCTAATCAGCATTGTATGCTATGTGCTATTAGATTCACGAAAAGCAAATAAAAATACATCTAATAACACAAATCATATTTACTCACAATGCGGTAAATATATATCAACAATACCACTTGAAACCTTCTTTGATATTTACTGTTTTGTGAGTTAACAGTAGGTTTATAAGTGTAATTGATTATGTTTTAAGTGTTGTAGGCTAAGACATATTTTTAATTGCCTACTTTTTATTTTACTTTCCACATCACATTAAAATAGGGAGAGTTTCGTTATGTCATTAATTTGAAGTACCATAGGCTAATTATATGCTATAATTAGGTGTTAATACCATGGCACTAAATTTATCTGTGTTAATTATTTGACTCAAATTTCTTGAGCTATGGTAAGCTTTTTGCGGTTTAAACCGCAAGAATAGACTGGCTAACAAAATGGTAGGCTATAGTGCGACTTCTTCATGAAAATAAATGTCTTCCACACACTGGAAAACATGTAGAACAAGTGAATAGAGAAAAATTTACAACATATTTTCAATTATTCTTCTTTTTCTTATTAGAAATTAATTGGTCCTTAATTGTCATCGGTTGTTAGGTGAGATAGAGATTCCTCCTGGAGATCATGTGTATCCCTTCAGTACAACTCTTCCGCCAATGCTCCCTTCGTCTTTCGAGGGAGAGCATGGAAACATTCGGTATACTGTGACGGCTACCCTCGATCGACCGTGGAAATTCGACCAACACGTGGAGAAAGTATTTACAGTAGTCACTCCGGTTGACCTGAACTACAATCTGAAGGCAAAGGTGTGTACAAAATGTCATGATACGTTAGCAAAACCTAAATAATGGTATGTTTGCCTAATTTCTTTATTGGTAGGTAGTCTGTAGTTAAATGCGGTACAGTCTAGTAAAATGTTGTGTATTGTGAGAATAAGAATGTAGCTCTGATTACGAGGATACCTCCTTCTTATTTGTCCCTCATAGGCCTATTTGAGTTACCAATATATGCCTATAGCTGCATTCCCACCGTATTTTTTAGTGCAGTTGTACAAGTTTGCTATTATAAGTTAAGTTAAGTTTGCCTATCATATGCCCTAGTATCACAAGCACCTATTTATCTTTTAACGCTGCCCTCTAATTTTTATTGGTGGTGGCTAAAGATCTAACAGAGCTACACAGATCATCTCAGAATATTTTACACTCATCATTCACTCATATTTGGGTTGCTTAAGCAACTTGGTCTAAAAATACCTAAATTCGTATGGTGGCCATTTCAGAATACAGTATTAGGCCTAAAGTTTTACAGGTTTTACTAACAGATATTGTTTTCTTTAGGAACCAGTAAAGTTGGAGGTTGAGAAGTACTTTTGCTGCTGTTGGTGCAAGTCCGGACCTCTAACTATGGTCATCAACCTGCCGTTCTCCGGGTATGTACCGGGACAGAACATCCCGGTCACCCTGGAGGTGGATAACGCCAGCAATGTGCGGGTGGACAGCGTGGTCATTCGATTGGAGAAGGTGAGGAGTTTTTAAGGGGTTATTTTAATTTCAAAGCTCCCTATAACTTCATATCTTTCAGCTCGAGAGAGGGGGCTCATTAAACCCTAATTATGTAAAACTAGGAATATTAGTGATAAATATGCTTCCTTAACTCCCTTTATTACATTTATGTGTACAAACAAAATGTCGATTAGGTGTATCTATGTAACGCAACATTCTAAGCAGCAGCTGCAATAAACTCTATAACAGCAATCGTCATAATAGCACTTAGCTCTACCTTTGTTTTGTGCTGGTCTCATATTTTTTTATATATTTTGATGCGTTGCAAGCTTTAACAATGCTACGCTTGCAATGAAACTAGACATGCAGCATTTGGTGAATGAAATTTAAACTACAGATTAATGTAAGGAAGCCTAATCTATCAAAATGACTCCAGGATGTATAAAATGGGTTCTAATTATACCACCCCACTAGAAAAAACTTTGTCCAAGCTATTTAAAGAATAATTAATTTATGTTGTAAATAGGTGTGATTATGACCATGACCCCTTAAAATCTTTCTTTTTATATTGTATACTGCTACATCCCTGATAAAGAACCTTTAAAAAAAGTTAAAACTGAAGACAATCTGTGATCGACAATCAAGTATTTAAGGATTCTTTACCTCACATACCACTGATTAAATTTTAACTGTATGAGGGTTTAGCTATGTTTCATTTGTACCTAAGACAAAACCAGTCATTGTGCCCAAAGCGTTAAACTTTTAATGGTGAATTGATGGCTAGGTCATCGATGTTGAAGATTCCGGATCCTGATATCCGGCCCATTCTAATCAGTACACTGTTGCAGTGTACCAGTTCACCCCTTGCTTTGCTAGATAAGTTTCGCGCAATGCCGATTTAGCCTTTGTGGCAGGATAAATGCAAGGTTAAAAGAGGCTGCCAATCTCTGTTAAAAAATTTAAATTAAATTATAAGTTACTCAACCGCCAAACATGTAGGTCAATCAACTTATCTCTAAAATTTGGATTAGGCCTACTTGACGAGGTAAACTATACTATCTTATTGTCATTACTTGACACCTTTTACATTTGTCTAAGTGACATTTCAATTTGTCATCCTTAATGAGTTAGTAAATTGACGCCTCTGTAGGTGCTCAAATGGAAAGCTCGAGAGCCGAAGAACAAGGAGCGCGAGGACAAGGTGGAGATTGTCAAGTTGACTTTGGACGCTATAGAGGCTAACGGCTCCAAGTCTTACACGCATCAGATAGCTGTGCCGATGATGCCTCCTTGTAATCTGGACCAGTGCTCTATCATCAACTGCGGCTACTCACTCCAGGTATGTTTCAACGGCAAGTGTGCAGAGTACGTCTTCTGTCGCATCGGATAGTTTACAAAAAATCTATACTACAATAAGGGTTTTCTCTGTAACATCCTTTTTCGCGTCCTAATTAACCGACTTTTACGATTAAGGTGTTCATTATAGAGCTGATGATCCAGCCGAGTGATGAATGGTAACTAAAAGGTAAATTCACTAAGTACTTCGCCCCTCTAGTGATTTATTTATTTCTAGAGTTCAGTTTTGTAATTTAATAACAGTTGACTCTCTTTAGGTGAATGGTTAATCACAGTCTGATAGTAAATAGGAGACGAAACAGTTCATGAAATTGGGTTTAAAACTGCCTAAGCTACTTTTTCTGATGGTTGTAACCTGATTAAGGTAGGTAAATCACTCTTCATAGTTTTTTGATTCTATAATTGAAGGCTTAAACTTATTTTGACTCACCAGCTGTGAAGTACACCCAAATTTTCATTCCATGGTATATAACAAATCACAAGGGTTGCATAGTGTTTTATTTCAGAAAACGATGGATTCAGAAAGTGTTTAGACACTTATAATCCTTTTGCATATTTGGTATTGCATCAGATGAAACCTGAACAATCCCTATATTTAACTTATTCTAGGTTATGTAATATTTCAGGTGACAGCAGAAGTCAGCGGTTGCCATAGTAACTTGTATGGTGAGGTGCCAATATTCCTGGGTACAGTGCCGGTATACCAAGCCCCCATGGCCCCACCACCAGGTGCTCCAGACACCATCCCCTCCGCTCCCCCGCCTGGGGCCCCCGTTGGATTTATCGCCAACCCAGGACCCACCGAGGGAAACATGTATCCTACATTGCGTAAGTTTTTAATAAATTACTTTATGATAGCTTTATTTTAACCTTATCTTTAATTTTAGAACTTAGGTCAAAAATAACTCTGCCCTTTGTGTATATGTTCTAATAAACTTTAAAAAAATAGGTTTTTTCATTTGTGCCGCCTAAATGTAGCTCAACAAGTGTAGCCTACTTGTTTTGTTTGTTTTCTTACCATATGGTAGGAATGCATGAATGTAAGTTGAACTTTTAAAAGCAAAAATAAACCATTGCTAATCTGTTTTTTAAATAGTTGTAGTTGCAGAATTAACCTTGGGGATGTGGATACAATTTTAATTTGATGTAATATATAATCATGGTCTTCAGAGATGACTGCATCAATCAATTGGCAAAAATTAGGTTGACGCTTCTGATGCATTGCATCAATTTAATCTTCGGATTCTTTTAAGTCTGCAAGTATTTTTGCCAATCTAACGACACAGTAATCTCCTGAAGAACAAAGTTCAAAATTCTTCTTTGACCATGGAAGTCTGGGGCCTTATAATTTTACATTACAAAACATAAGAATAATTATTGTTTCTGATTTCATTACACTAAAAGTAACTTTAATATATTGTTGGTTAAACGATTGCTGTAGATATTCTCTTCCAAACATGATTACTAGCAGTATTTTTCAGAATTTGAGTTCAGGCCTTCAAACACGAGTTCTTTCACACCAGATGAATGAAGATGTTCAAAAAAACTTTCACAAATAAAATTTAGAATTCTGTCAATATTTTGGATTTTGATCTAATTTTCTATCAGTTCAAGGTACATTACAGGCCTATGTATTATCCCAACAGCTATCGGGCTCAACGATTTAGTGACATTGATAATTATTGGTTTAAATTTTTCAACCTATTCAAAAGATAAAATAATACTAGGTAGACTATCATTTATTTTGCTATCAATGAATGATTAATAGCTGACAAAAAAAAAATTACAATGGGTAAATAATTAGGCTACCCGACGCAAAAATAATCTCCCACATGTAAAATTTCTTGAGATAATCCTGATATTTTGGGATTTTGGTATGTTTAATTTAACATTTTGTAGAATATTATCTGGGATGTTTTTACTCAAGGGTGGCGAGGAAATTCTTCCTATGAACAACTTCCCCAAGCTGATCCTGAAGTTTAGAAGATTTAAGGACATTTCCAAATAAACTCAGGAAAGTTGTGGGTGTGTTTGCGAGCTTTTGGGCACATTTATAGATACATTATTTATTGAAATAAATCATATCATTTTATGTGTGTTTGTTTTTCACCCGTAAAATGTTATAGTTTATGTGCAGATAAAAGTATTGTAAATTAAATAGCCGTACTTCTTTAGATTTTAGTATTTGTTTGGTTATCTTTGTGTTAGTTTCAGTCATAAACTGTGTTCCTCTTATCCATAGTAAATTTCAGTCTACTCATAGTAGGAAGAACATAAATTAGTTTGTGTTATGGTGGTCTGCTCCATATGGGCGATTTTGTTTCCTTGCAACATTAACAATACAAAAAATACTAATTGGCAATAACAGTTTGTGATTATAATATTTTTATATACTAATAGGTATTTTTTCACTTACTTTTGTTCTTGATTTAAAGTTGACCTCAATCGGATTCATTCAACAGCTAACCACCCCTATTTTCGTAGGTAGGTAGGTATTTTCATGGTTGTACGGACTTTAGAATAGAAAACAGTATGGATTATAAAAATTGACGTCACTGGCCTGATATATACTAATAACTGCAACATCTGGATTATATTTTTTTGACAGTTTATTTAAAAATTAATACACATGTTTACTTGAGGCCTGTGACGTCATTTGATAATGTTTATGATCCATAACATTTTCTGATAGAGGCGGGTATCTTTCGTTACCTTTTTGGATAGTATGATGAAACTAATTGCCCCAAAAGGGGTGAAAACAGCTGGACAGTAGATGAAATAAAGAACACAACGTTGGACTCAGATTTGAACTCGGTTGCTTGGCTGCGACGGGAGCGATGATGATCTTAATTTATGGACATCCCTCGTATAGGCTAATAGCTTAGATAATAGATAGTAAAGTAAAAGCTATCTGTCCATTTTTTTTAGAAACAAGATAAACGTTATTTTAATTCATCATGCCCATAGTTAATTTTAAACATTGTACACACACATTTTGTGGTAATGGTGTCAGAGTTTTTTGCACATTTTGAGGGCTATTGCACTTCTAATGTTGAGGAAAAAATATGTGCAGTTAAGTTTGCACTATATATCTGAAATTATCTGATTGTGCTAAAGCAATAATCAAATTGAAGATAGTACCATTTGCAGTCAGTGAATTCTGTGGTGGTGCTGTTTAATGTATGTGTGTGGTAGCCAGGTAGACATTGGCAACATCACAGAGTGTGTGAGCTCCCGCCCGACATGGAGAGGGTATTATGTATAAAGACCAGGCGACAATATAACGTTTACAAGAAACTAAGAAAGCTAAATTTTAAAACTATTGGTAAAGTTGTTTCTACTTTACATAAAGTTTTAACTTCACTTTAAATGCAGCGCTTCTACATAACCAGTAGGCCTACCTACTTTTAGGGACTTTTGCTCATTATAATTTTCTTGTTTAGCAGAAATATTTTTAACTGTTCACGAAATTCTCCTGCTGTAGCAAAAAGGGAAGTTCTATTTGCCTAGAATGAATGAGATGGCGTTTTGGGACTCAAGTGCACATATTTTTTCCTCGACAGTAGTCATTACGTGTGTTTGTGTTATAGTATATTACGTTACTAGTCCCGAAAATAGATGTGTACCGGACAAGTGTGGTCGTTCCCATGCGAGACTAAGTCGAGTGCGGGATTACCATACGAGTCCGGTACACATTTTGGACGAGTGACGTACAATATTTTACGCCATACTTCTCTTAAGTTATCTTAACAACAAGAAATCTGTACAAATCATCATATATTCCCACCGATCAAAGGACTAAAAATTTTAAGTGAGGTTATGTTTTTGTTTATAACACTCATTTCCAAATATAATCAGCTTGGTTGGTGTCCGGTAAAAACTCAACACCCCCATGAATAGCCATGAATTCTTTGGCTGTAACCCCATTGATTAAGCTTGCGGCAAACAGCTGTTTTCTGGACTAAATTCTTGAGTGGGACGCTCGTTAAAACAGAGTAGTGTGGCGTAAAAAAGTATTTTTAGTTGTGTTTTCACTGACATTATTAACATGACGAGTAGTTGGACAAAGGGTGCTAATACACTGGTTGATCAAGTTTCAACTCAACAAATTTTCACTAAGAGATCTCATTGATTTATTATTTATTCATTAATTTACTCATTTAACAGTTTTGCTTAGTGTTTATTTAAAATAGTTTTTTTTTAGTTTTTTGCAAAAGTTCAAGGAATTAACTGTTAACAAGTTACAACTAAAAGTGATTTAATAAACATAGAACTTTCTATGTAATCAAAATACTTAATTTACACCAAACCTTTGTATTCTTCATTGTCTTTGAATGGCTAAAGAAAGTACAATTTAATCTCAGTTTGCCGGGTACTGTAGTTGGTTACTAGCCTAATGGGTGTCGCAACTCTTAGTTGACACGTGTTCATTGGTGTGTTTGTGTACGTTAATGACCTCTTATGAGTCATAACATGTTCTTGCATGAAGATCTGATAGTGTCAACTTGTGAATGCCTTAGCCTAATCTGTAAAAGCTTCAAATTATTTGAATCGGATAAAACTTAACCTTTGAATTATTTACTAACAATATTTTTAATTTTACAATTACAGAGGAGAAGAGTTTAGAAGTCAATTTTAATTTTCAATAGAAAAAGTTATGTTTGCAGTCTTTTTGCCCTGTGTTGGCTTCGGCAAACACAGTAGGTTTCTTTTATTTACTTTACGTAAATCTAACAACACGTACAATGCTCATCAAGAAATTATTTGAAATAATAAAAAAAAACGAGACCTACTCACTAATTAGTTAATCACCTATCGGTATAAAACATTCTTAATTTTTTTGTACTTAGGTGACACCCTGTATAGTATTTTAGTTTTTAATGTTTTTCGCCATTTTTCAGCTCCTATGCCTGAGATTCCGTCCGAGCCTGTGCAACCTGAATGAATCTCCCAAAGATCTTCCTATCACCAAATATCATCTTGTAAAAGTTAAGCTGGTTCTCGAGTCAGATTTTTGCCTTAAATTGCTATAACTTATCTAATATTTAAAATTTATAACCAATATATTTCCTATTCTATAACCTATATTTATCCTATTAATGCCAAAGATTCATTATGTATTTGAGTTTTAAACTTATATGGAGATCTAAAATTATTAAATTTTATTTTTATAGATAAGATAAATTTTGTTACCTCTCTTCTTGCTCTACAATTTTAAATTTAATTGATTTCCTTTATCCATGGCAGCTTAAACGCCTCCTCCTTATATTTTGAACACTTTAACAGTGACGCTTATTATATAAATATTTATTTTATTTTTATTAAAAACTGTTTTATATCTTAAGTGAAAACTTAGTAGGCATAAGTGGATTTTACCTTATTTAATAACTCCACAGGTTATCGCACATTATCTCTACTGTTGTAGGTTTTAATTGTATTGTAATCATGTGAATCAAATCCGTCACTGCGTTATATAAAATGTAATTACTTAATCACTAAGACTGCTTATGTTAACCTCGGCATCAACACATTGTACTGCCTTTTTATATACGCTTGTACTAACTATCGGGGAGTTAGAATCCATATGTAATGAAAAGATTAATATATAACCACAATTATTTATATTTTGTTACAATTTTATTTATTTTATTATTATTATACTGTAGGAATGTTTAGGGCTCTTTAATGTTCTGATTAATGTCTGGCTTTTGCCAAATTTTTACATGTAGCTTACGCTGGGTTTTAGTTTTATTTCGTCATCACATGTTACCATGATAGCCTGATTTATGTTTATCTTAAACTTTAAAAGCTATGTGGTTGTAATTTTCATGGAAGACTTGGAAAGCAACTGTAATACTCCAGAATCAAACCATATATTACCTTAGCGTGTAAGGATGTTAAATCATAGCATAGACTAACCAACACAAGTAGACTTCTCATCCATTGTAAATTTTGAAGCTCGTTTTTTGTTACTAGTTCACGTTGACTAAATTTTTTCTATTATTTGATGGTTCATGATTTGTGCTTTACTGTGTGGTTATATAACTATGGGACGAGTTATTGTTTATGATTAGATCGTTTTATTTGGTTAAACGAGGTTTTAAATGACTGAAATAACAAGAAACTAATTTTAAACAAAACACGAGCTCTACAGTGCTACGGAACAAACAATAACATTGTCTTCAGCTGATCCATAAGGATGAGATGTCTAGTTTTATATATGATTCTAGTGAAAAAGATTGTTGGATTTAGATGAACTTTTAGTTGTGTGGTTTGTTCTGTCGTTGTGTGTTGTGAAATGTGGGTTATGAGTCTAGATAATTATAAATGTTTTTAAATGTAATAGTTTGTACCAATTAGGTAATGTGGTAGTAATGGTTTTAGCGATTACTGTCACAATTACTAAAATTGAGAATGAGGTAAAACAGCTAATGCGTTACAAAACCAATATTTTGAATCAATATCAAGAAACTTTAAGAGCTAATGTCAGTAATGTGGCGATTCTCTGGGAGAAGATTATAGTCAAACCGCTAAAAGCATCAAACTCTAGAGGCTTCAACACCACCATTGATAGTTGGACTGTTTTATTGTGTTTCATAATTATATTTTATGGTATTACAGGGAGTTGAAGCTTTTAATAAATTGAATTTGTAAAGTCTTCTAATGCAGATAATGGTAACTTAAAACAACCTACAGATAAAACATTTGATTGTAAATTTTGTGCAGGTTGCTGACAATACATTGACTGTAGACAACCATTCAGAGCGAACAATAGTATAAGACAAAAACTAATCCTTCAATAGATTAATGGCAAAACTATTTAGTTGTAGCTTAATTTAATATGTAACGTTAAGTAGGCAAGATTTAATTTCTGTTTGAAATGTAGTTGTCGGAAAAATGACAAAAGACTGTTGTATTTGGTAAACTTTATCACAATTTCACAAACATTTTGGCATAGCACTTTGTACATAAAAGAACTAACGCCTTGTATGACTGATCACGTTTAAATAAAATTTCTTATAAATTTAATCGGTCAAATAGATTTAAAATACTAAATTAAATTATTGGAAACACTACTTTAGCCACATTTATATTAATTCATTAATTGCTTTCAATTTATTTTAGACTTTTTGATGTGACTGGTTGATGTTTATAGATGTATATGAAGTTTTACTATAAGGATAAAAATAGCACAGGAGTTGTACGCACAAAAGAGTCAAAATGTATCTGATAATTTAGACACAATTACGAGAATAATTGTCTTCCTAATGTAAAACTCCCTGAATGTGGTGTAAGATCAATTTATAGACTGATATTATGGTGGTGCTTCCATGTTATAAAGGTATAACGTAGAAAAGAGGGCTGTTCAGTAAGTAACAAATGTTTTAAAATAAAATAAAAAGTAATAAGCAATGAAAAAAACTCCTTATGTATAGAACAAAATGTTGGTCTCCCAACTTTTGTTTGGTCATTTTGGATCTGAACACACAATTTCCGGACAGAAATTTCTTTTTTAAGTATATGGAAAAAAAACATGGCAAACCACACCACTTTACTGCCATGATTTTCAATTGCATCATATTTTTTTAACTTTTTAAAATTTTGTGACAACAGGTAGCACAATAACACTCCCGATGTGATGTCTGGACAGTCAATGAGTAGGCGTATGTGTTTGCTCCAGAAATTTTTGACGTCACATGGAAATTTTTTTTGCTTTCTGAACAGACCTCGTATATTAGCTCTCTGGTACCAAAAACGGGAACTTAACATTTTCATGGCCTAACTCTGATCTACTGTATTGATTCAATTTAATCATAACTTATATAATCTCTCTTGGTCGATCTGTTAAAGGGTAAAGGGTATATAGACCCTCCTGACAAATTTGTGTAAGTTGTTATAAGTTGTTGAGTATAGATGTTTATAGAAATTGTGTTTGGACAAGTAAGAGCTTAAATCAATTATAGCAATAAGAATTGTAAATCACCTTATTTAGGAATTTTTAAGTAAATAGGCCTATATATAATGTTAATGTTTTTTTATGTTTTCTACTAACACTCTAGTGTACGTTGTGCCTTTTATATACCTTTTAATATGCTTGTTGAAATATAACTGTTTGAATTCCACTTGTGTTCTTAATTTACCTTTTGATGTCACTTTAAAGCCTTTACAAATTATTTTCTAGAATTCACTCTCCTTTTTGCAATTACAGGACGCTGGACAACTTTCTTACATTGTGTTGACATGGGATTAAAAGTGGGTTTCTGTATCGAAGGTCCATAAAATGAATTTTAAAGATAAAACCTTGAAACTTGAAAGTCGTAAAAATTAGTTTAGGTGTATTTTTGTCATATAATGTCTCTGGTACACTGATTTGCCTCATTTCATCACGTTTGATGGCTCCAGGAGATTTCAGACCTGAAATACAAAGTTCTAAAGTTTATTCAAATATTGGCTTTAAGTATGTAAATGTACACAAATGTTAACAACAGCAGTAACAACAACGGTTTGGACCGTTCCCTAACAAAAACAACTTTAAAATTCCACAGGCGTAGATGAAAGCAAAAAGAGAGTTCAAAATCATCCTTAACAAGAAGAAGAAATAGTAATACTGTACAGTAATTCATAGGCTTCTTGCTCGAAACAAAATTGTCACAGTGTAATAAATTAATGCAACCTAATTTATATTCCACGTCTAACCAAACTTTGAAAGAGTTAAGAATATATTTTATGTTTGCACAAGGATATGTCAAAGACATTCTAGCATTTTCTATGGTTTTAATGTGGACAATGCAGTTAGTTTGGCTAATTTAAGGAATAAAATAATTATATTATACAGACAAATACATAAAATTACCTGTAATGGTCACTAAGGATTGGGTAGATGGCTAAAACTGGAATGAACCTTTGGCTTGTCACGAGAGCTTGAGTCTTTAGGAAGAGAAATCAGTCTGTAAAATCAAAATTTTATCTCATAGTTTTATCCCAAAAGCAAATAAGGTAAACATCTACACTTTCCTACCCACCTAGCCTAACAATACTATCATTATTATCAAATTATGTGATCCAAGGGCGACTTGAATCAACTTCAACCCATAAAAATCTATGCAAGCAGGTTATTTGTGACAATTACGCCTCCGAAACTACTTAACCGATTGACATGTTTTTTGTCATTGGAAAGAGCGTAACATGAAGTTGTGCAGGAAACCTTCTTTTTAGGGAAATAATTAGAGAATGATGCCCTGGGGCCCTTTAAAGTTTTGTATTTCACCATAAGAAACATTCCCTTGTATTACCATGGGAAACAAACATTGTTATGAAACTCCAGCTGTTGTCAGAAATTAAAAGTGAGAAGAAGAACATATATTAATTGTAAACAGTCATGAGTCAATATGTAAATTATTTAGAAAATAAACATGGACAACCTAACGTGGCTGTAAGTGGGAAACATTTTTGGAAAACACTAAAACGAGATCAGATTTTGAAAAATGATAAGATATTTACAAGAAATGTTGATTACATTAACCTGTTATGATCATCGTGAGTATTTCCATTAGTTAAATAATCATTGAGTAGTTTGAGTTGACTCTTTTAAACTCATTGGAAATGATGACCGTCATTCGTTTTCAAGCAACTCCTGTAATACTTTGCAATTGCTCGATTTCGAGTAACATGTACCGTCATTCGTTTTCAAGCAACTCCTGTAATACTTTGCAATTGCTCGATTTCGAGTAACATGTACACTAGTAATTATTAAAAGTGCTAATCTGCTGAGTACTAATATTTAATTATTAATATGCATTTTGAACAACAAAACTCACAGTAACACAGCGAAAGATGCCAAAAACAAGGCAGCAATGAATCTGAAATATGCAACTCCGAGGAGAAGAAACATCTGGTCTGAGACGAGTTGTCCTAAGAAGTTGACAGCTCCTCCAACACTCATCATGATGGTTGATGTCTTGTCACCGAACAATTCTACAACAAAACATTGAAAATATATTTGTGAACATAATCTTTAAGTTGGTGTATACACCTGTATTTGTGGGATCCACAATGTTGTTTTAGAGGTACGCTAGAGCTCAAAATTTCTGAATAGCCGATTATCGGTACTGTATAAAGAAAAAATTTCAAAAACGTAAAACTACAGTGATAGTTGTTAAAGAAGGCAGAAGCCGTTTTCAGGGCAAAATACTAAACATCTTCGGTCTTGTAGACATCACCATTGTCTTCCCATTGAAAATGTGAAAACAATAGACATAGTGTTAAGAAAGAAGGATTTATTGTCCAGTACTGAGCATACAAATATTTAGTATTTAAATTTAATCTTTAAAATGACAACATTGACAACCCCCCTATGAAAAAACCTTGATAATTTGGTTTTTAAAAATTATGATATATACGTTGTACATGCACAGTATTTTATGTATGGTAAAATGAAGTTGTATTGCATTATAAATAAACGGTATCAGCATTCTGACACATACTTTCTCCCATAAGTTTGTCAACAACCTTTATCATGTGTAAGTGGTGAGTGTAAATATACGCAAATGGGATTTGTACAATATTGTTCAGAATTTAAAGGACAATAAACATAAAAAAACACACATACAAAACATTTTATCATATCAAACCAATAGGCCAATAGGTAGCATGTTCTATATGACATGCTAAATTTTTATCAAAATCGTTCGGGCAATTTTTGGGAAATCCGATTTTTCTGTTATTTTATTGGGGTTTTATGGGAAAATGACATAATTTACAATAACTTTTGAACCGTAATTTTTACAGAAATGGGATTTGTACCATTTTGTTCAGAATATAAAGGACTATAACATACTAAATTTTTATCAAAATCGTTCAGGCCATTTTTGGGAAAATCATATTTTTCCGTTATTTTATGGGGTTTTATGGGAAAATCCTCATTAAAAATAAAAATTTCTAAAAAATTAAAAAAAAAACTATCAAAACTGTAAAGACTATAACAGACTATGTTAAATCAAACTTGGATTTTTTTCTGAAATCCTATTTTCGTTATTTTATAGGGTTTTTATGGGAAAATAACATATTTGACCATAACTTTTAAACCGTAATTTTTACAGATATGGGATTTGTACCATTTTATTCAGAATTTAAACGGCTACAACATACTAAATTTTTATCAAAATCGTTCGGGCCATTTTTGAGAAAATCCGATTTTTCCGGTTTTTTATGGGTTTTTATGAGAAAATCCCCATTAAAAATAAAAATTTCAAAAAAATGAAAAAAACGCCTGGAGATACCATGGATTAGAACCTACATACCAAATTTCATCGAAATCGGACCACAGGTGTGGTCTCTAGCTCTGTACACATCCAGACACACAGACACACACACACACACACACATACGCGTTTGGCAACCAATGTGAGCTCCATGGTATTACACAGTAATGTGAGCTCCGGTATAAGGAGAAGTTATTTAAAGAAAATATATGTCACTTTTTTAAAAGATGTCTTGTACTTAACTGTGGACACTTAAATCTTAAGGTTTGATTAAAATTTACAACTTGGATTTTGTAATGCAATGTGAGCTCTGGTATGTAAGTCGACCTGAGCTCCGGAAGTGTGCATGGTCAATGTGAGCTCCGGCAGTGTGTATGCTCAATGTGAGCTCCGGCAGTGTGTATGCACAATGTGAGCTCCGGAAGTGTGTATGCTCATTGTGAGCTCCGGTATGGTGTATGCTCAATGTGAGCTCCGGGAATGGTAAGTTCGAAGCTAACACCAATACTCGTCTTCGTTCTACGGAAAGTTGCTAGTCTTGCCTAGGAACCCAGTTTTGGATCTGTTCAATGTGAGAGGCATTACTAGCTTCATTCCCACTGTTCTTGTGAACTTAACTCTAGATCAGACTGTTGCTTCATCCACTTCTTCATCAGTTAATTTTTCATCTTAAAATCTAAAAAATATCTTTTTGGTACCTATGTTATCACCCACGGGATCTTTGAATAATTTTAGGCTTAACTGAATCTGAAGTATGTGGTTTGGTGGTTGGTCCTTGTAATGAATTATATAAGATTAACCTGCATTACACTATCGACAAATTAACTAGCAAATATTTATTAAAACATTGAGGCATACTGCAAACGCTGAGTCATACTGCAGCAAAAACAGCCGTATTTAAAGAGCTTAAAGTAGGTCTTTTCACTTTTCTCCCTAGGAAGTGAAAATCAGCTGATTTAAACTCAGTTGTGAGCTTCGATTGTATGCAATCGCATGTATCGAAAGTATGTATAATTTTTTTCACCACACTATGATGTTTTAGTGGTTTTACATACGTTAATTGGTGGCTGAAAGTTACGTTTTGCTGGCCATGCCAGCTGTCATCGTTATTTGGGGACCGAGCAGGTCCCTAGGGCCGCAAAATTAGCTGCCCGCTTACTTACCTACTTAAATACACAATCAGTATCCATAGCATTATTAAAGATCCATTGCAATAGAATTATTTTATCGTCACCGTTGCCTAGCAACTATTTATTTTTATTTTTGCTGATTCCTCTAATTATTTTTTCACATAACCTTAAAGTTGTAGTTGTGTTGACCATCAGTGTGCATTATTATAGAGGTGAATAGTGGCAATAGGGTATAGTGTGGTGCAAAATAGCGTTCGTACCACGGACCGAAATGGTTTTGCAGCTCTCGATCGAGACGAAGTCGAGAACTTAAAAACTATCTCGAGCCGGCAAAACCTTATTTTTGGCCCTAGGTACGAAATATACTATTAAATGGGTTGTAGCTTAATCGGGTTTCAACATTATTTAATTTACAGTCTGTTCCAAAAGTAGAAAAATAAGCAAATACATTAACAATAATACAACATTAAAAGTATAGAGATTTACCACTCTCAACACTAGCTAACAAAGATAATTTTGATAACACAGCCGAATCTGAATGGGAGGTTTAATATCGTAAGTCGCTTCAGTCTGTAAATGGTGTTGTGATTGTCCAATAAATTTAGTGCAAGATGAGATCTCGCCCTGTGGTCGGAAACTTGACCAAAAGTATGTATTTTTCCAACTTATCTATATTTACCCTATGCTATAAATAAGACATGTAAATGGAATTTCTTCTATTTGGTTTTATTTTCTGTTTACATTTAGTTGTTATTTCGTTACCTACATGGCAACCCATACGGCCCAAGTTATTTTTTAAATTTTAAATTCGTTTCTTGTGTTTATTTTTGAGCCTATTTTAATTTATAAAGGGATTCATCACATCTACAGGAAAATATCTTTCATTTGGTACCAACCGCGTGTAATTCGTTCCAGTAGTATGGTCAGGCTAGCTGTCATGAGTTTTGCAAAAGTTGTTTTGTATAAGACGATTTTGAATGATTTTCCAATTTGATAATCTTTTTTCACTAGATTTTGTAATTTCTTCTTTGACTTTTCAAATTCTAAGAGTATTATGAAGTGTTCTGTTGGTAACAAACCAAGGTGCGTTGACAATTTTACGTAGCAATTTTGATTGGTATCGTTGAAAAATTTAAATGTTTGATGTACTTGATGATCGCCAAAGTTGGATCCCATAAGTCCAAATTAGTTTTATAACTTTTATGCAAAGTAACATTATTTTGTGTACTAAGTTTTGATTTAGATCCAAGAAGACAATTAAGCTTAGTTATTTTAAAATTTAGATATTGTCTTTTAGTCCAGATATGTGCCTTCCAATTAAGCTTTGCATCTAAGTGCATGCCCAAGTATTTTATTTCTGTTACTTTAGGGTGGTGAATATTGTTCATGGATACTGGAGGAAATGTAGCCAGATTTAGGGTAAAAGTAATGTTTTCTGATTTATTTTCATTAATTTTGAACCTCCATGTTTTAAACCAATGTGAAATTTCATCCAAGTTTAACTGTAAATTTGCTGTAGTTTGAACCGGTTTGTCGTGGACAGATAAAATGGTCATATCATCCGCAAATGTGGCAACCATAGTGTTTACAATCTCTGGTAGGTCCGATGTATAGGGAATATTCAAGTATGGTTCAAGTACGCTTCCTTTGGGGATTCCTGATTTTATAGGGTAAAGGTCAGTTAAATAATTTTGATGTTTAATTTGGAAAGTTCTGTTTGTAAGATATGATTTTTAAATATGAAAAACTGAATGGGGTACCGGTAGCTAAATGTGGCATTCTTGTCAATAGTTCGACATATCGATAGTAATGTACACTAACACAATCGTAATAGACGAAATAATTTAATTATATTTAACTAAACAAATGCTTGTTTGCATTAGCAAAATAAATAACAATTAGAAGTCATTTTGAGAAGTTATCTAAGTATTTCTGTTAAAGAAATGGCATTTCTTCATAATCTTAACATCTCAAATTACTTTAATACTTTCTTATGAAATGGCTACCATACTAAATTCAAACTCACATAACAAGAAATTAAATAACATCTAAACATAAATTAAAATGTTTTACACGACAATTAAAAAACAAATGTACGATTGCTCTTGCTCATTCTTCATCAGATTAGGCATAGGCACGAGACCCTCCTTCATTGCGCAGTCTGTAGTCTTGGAGATAAGAGAGATATGCGGTAAAGATAAGGGAGAACTGTAACGGTCCGTTGTGGGTTTGCAATATTTATCTCAAAATCCAGTGCAAGGTTAACTAAATTTAGGAATTAGGGTCTGAATACGTGATTGGTGAAATCCAAGAGGCAATACTGAACTTGCACTACTTATGTTATATCGCATTTTTTACCTTATCTATCAAAAATATGCTATTTTAAGCACTTTTTCCTTTGGCACTTTAGGGGGAAACGACTATTTCACCCTGAAAACCACGTTTGAAAATCGAGAAAAGCTTTAGAAATAGGCAATTATAAGCGCTCGAAAAATCTTTTTTCCTTTTAATAGTAGCCTATTTTTCTTGTTATTCGAGTCATTTCAAACTTCTTTTCCTCTTGCACTTTTTCAGCAAACACATATTTCACCACGAAAAACACGTTTGAAAAGCGTTATAAATCATTAATATCGCCACATTTGACTGGTAAGTGTCAATAAAAGAGTGTAAAAGAGTCCTTGGAGCCTAGACGTTCTAACTCATAAAACAATGAAAGAACTACAAAGACAATTTATAATCTCACAATATACTAGATATTTAAATTACAATCACTCTGGTGTTTGAAAACACATTTTTGGACTGTAAATAACTCTCCAGCAGCTGTTTGAAATTAACGTAATTAACATTGCTCTTAAGGGGGACAAATCACAGCCTCCTCTAATACATTAGATCTAATGTATTAGAGGTGGCTGTGGACAAATCCAAGATGGCTGTTAGCTTTCATTGACTCCCTTGGAGAACAATAAAAAACTACAAAGAACATTTCTAATCTCACAGTATACTCGATGTTAAATTATAATCACTTTGGTGTTTGAAAAAATATTTTTGGACGATAAATCGCTCTTCAGCGGCTGTTTGAAATTATCCAAGATGGCCACTAGCCTCCAAGGACTCACTATATAACCTTTAGCTGAGCCCCTCAGCTTAACCTAACCTAAGCTGGGTTTACCCAAAATCGGTAATTTTCGGCACTTTGCTGATCTAAGCATGGGTTAGGTTAGGTTAGGTTAGAGTAAGCTAGGTTGGATTACTTTGGTTTACCCACAAATAGGTAATTTTTGGCACTTTGCTATTTTTTACGAATTTTAAAACCTGGGTTTCTGGGTAAAAATGACGTTTGCTGGAAAACTGTTAGCAGCAATTTTTTTTTAAATGGGTTTAATAATAATAAAAACACATTAAAGTAGGGTAAAAATTTCAAGCTCCAAAAAATCTTCGGTTTCCATCGCTTTTTGCTATGTTCAAACGAGATTTTCGAGCGTAGGAAAGATGCGGACAAGGAAAGAAAGTTAGGGACAAATAGGGGTGAGAATGTAGAGATGAGCTGAACTAGGCCCTGAAACGACTCTTTAAAAACGGACCTTTTTCCTTTTTCAGTTCACATAGAGCTACAATAACGTCATTGACTTCAAAATCATAATTTGACTATTTCCAAACAGTAAACTTATAAATGTTAGTCAGTCAAGTACTGATTGCTCCAGGCCTTATCTCCTATGGTTGCTAGCTTAATTTTTACGTATTTTGGATAAGTTAAATATATATTATATAAAATATAAAAGTATTCCATGCAATAATATTACCAAATATAATATAATTACACATTGTTAAGATATGCTGACGTAATTAAGCGTTAGAAGTTTAAAAATTTTAATAATCTTGTGATTGTGTAGGCTTGCTATAAACTTTATAAAATAATATTTTTTTGCACATTGTACTTTGGACCGAAAATATTTTTTTTCAAACACCTGTACCAATGCAGGACCAACTAGAAAGTTGGTCCTGGTACCAATAGAATGTGTAAAATTGGTCACTATATTAATTGTACTGCAAGAGATTCCAAAACACGCCACTGATTGTAAATTACTTATAACTGATAAGTGTAAAGTTAGAGTTTGTAGGAAGAACAGATCAACCGATTGACATTTGTTTTCAGTCGACGTGTTATCTCGTTACATTATTGGTATGTGGTGAAAAGTGACGTTTGCACCAAAGAATTGAAGAAAGCGTATCCAATATCATACAAAACAGTGATTTGGATTGTTTTGTATAAAAACATTTTAATGAGTTATAAACTGATGACCAAACAAATTAGGCCTAAATTACCACCACTTTTGAGAATTCAGAAAAAATAGTTTTATGGACAGCTGAACCTTAGTTTTATACGGATTAAATTAAGAGTTGTCCTTTTTGCGATTTATTACCACGTAAAACCCAAACAATATTAATAGGTTGGAAATTGGAGGTCAATCACACTCTCGCAATATCACAAAAGTGAACTGACCCGAGTGACCCGACACTCCAATAACTGGGATGGCCTGTAGCAAAAGGAAAATCTAAGAAATTGCTTATGAAGTCCATTTGGAGTAACGTGTGAATAATGTGTTAACGGGACATTTCTGTGTTCTGCTCACTCATATTTCCTTTACTTGTCCAAGTACTGAATGTTTATGAGTTTGCTTGGATTAAACAATATGTGGAACACTTTGTACCAGGTGCCTACGATTATATCTTACTAGAGGTAGCTAGTCGTGGTTTGTTCCCGAATTATGAATAATACATATTGTGTTATTGCGTTATAATACAAACGAGAGAAATTCGCCCATATTCAAGGTTGTATAAAATAAATCGGAGGCTATAAAGTCTACACGAAGTTGAAGCTATTGTTTTGAAAATAGTCAAGTATATTTTGATAAAATAAGGATTCGCTGCGTCGCGAGTGACGATGATGACACTTCCGTGATTGCGAGAGAATTTCACGAAATGGTTCGGCGGACCCAGGAGACGATGATGTATCCGTAATCGCGGGAGATATTTATCCTGGCAAAGTAACCACGAGCACAGAAAACGTTCTTAATATGTTTTCTGTGGCACGAGGTATGTTGAAGTTAGCACCGTGACCACGAGACATGTCAACGATGGCACCGTGAGTGCAAGATACGTTGACGGTTAACGCCATGACCGCAAAAACGTTGACGATAACACTGTAACCATGAGACATGTTGACGTTGGTACCATGACCGCAAAACATGTTGACGATAATGCCGTGACCGGCGACATAACCGAGACGTGTTGACAATGGCATCGTAACCGCAAAACATGTCAATGATTACGCCACGACCGTGAGAAATTTTGACGATGGTACCACAACCGTGAGACATGATGACGATCGCGCCATGAGTGTAGGCAGTGAGGGACCATCGATGTATAATAACTTCCGTGTAGAGTTATTATACATCGATGTGAGGGACATGTTGACGATGGTGCCACGCCCGTGAGACATGTTGACGATGGTACCACAACCATGAGACATGTTGACGATCGCGCCTTGAGCGTGGGCAGCGAGGGAAGTGTTTGCGATGGTGCCGTGAACGCGGGAAATGTTGATGATGGCACCGTGCTCACAAACGATGGTGCTCTGACCGCGGGACATTCGGGGACATGTTGACGATCCGGCCGCGAGCGTGGGGTGTGTTGTGGACATATATATAATACAGATTTGTTGTATTATATAGAGATCTATGGTTATGGATCAGGCGCCGAGATTACGAGATGTGTTGATTGCTGAGACGCCTGGACAACTGAATATAGCGCCGCGAACATGGTCACGGTGGCTCCGTCATCACGGGAGATCTTCACAATGATGTCACAATTGAGGATTAAATTCATGCAAAAATAATGACATTGTGATAGGCACATGTTAAAATATTTAGGATTGGGCCTGCCTGATTAAACTCTACTGCTGTTTTACAAGTAACCATATATCAGGCCTTAAGACTTTACTCAAGTTTTTTTTTTATGTAGTTGTATTCGTGTCGTATTCACGTTAAATGTCTATATAAGGTTAGCATGTGGTGTTTTATAATTAGATTTATGTTTCATAGTTAATTGAAACAAAAATTAAATTTGTTTAGTCAACAACAGATCTTGTTACTAGTTTAATTTTTATACAGAATTGTTTTTTAGTACGATGCTTGTTTTCAATATTATTGCTATCTGCAATAATATTTAACCTAGTTGTTTTACCCCAAACAATCGGGAAGGAAACAAAAATCACGTCCCGAAATAAAAATTAAAAAAAAACTTAATACTGAAATGAAATGTAAACAGTTAGTTGTGGATACAATTGAGCATTTTAAAGAACAGACGACGGAACAGCTGTTTCAAGATGGCTGACTATTGATTACTGATTTGGAGAATTGGTAGAGCGACTTGAATAATAAATAAGTACCAGGGTACTAAGCTTTGCTCGGGGAAATCATTACTATACCCTTAGAGAAGGCTTTGGTTTATTTAATTTATCCTTATTATAAATTAAAGACTATTTTAAAGATTATTTAAAGATTATTTTTAGCGGTAAACACAGCTGGGGAACGCAACAGACTACAATAATGCTATGCTGACGGCGAAGCTACCTCCCCCCTCCTCAGTGCCTATAAACACGACATGGATATAGTCTGGATCGCGTTCTGGCACTAGAAATTCGAGAATAACGCGCTGAAAACGACTAAATGCGGAGCGGAAGTCAGAACAATAGCGGAACTCACATTGACTGTATGGAACCATGTTGGTGTGCATCGAAGAGTGTAAACGCGATCGTAGCGCGACGTGGTGTCGATTTTATGAAGCTATACACTCGCACACTTTGGTAAAAAGCAGTAAAATGAGCTCCGACCTAGTTCGAGCTATTTCGGGTATTTCCGTGATGCCGAAGTCACTAGGACAACGAATCAGAGGCTTTCTCAATCCGAGCTCCGGGGGGTCGGAGCTCACATTGAAAACGGAGCTCACGTTGTTGGTGTGTAACCATACGTCGGATCTCACAATGTATCATTCCCCAACACACACACACACACACACACACACACAGACATCACTTCGAAAACCACTTTTTTGGGTCCAGGGGGACCCAAAACGAATATATCCACTCAAAACTCAAACTCGAAAATTTTGACGAAAACAATACTTTCTCCATATACTATGGTATAGGGGGAGAAAGTAAAAATGTTACGATTAAAACAAACAATTTTAGAGCCATGTATAAAATTTAATATAATGAGTTTAATTGCAAAATTATTACCAGTTGCCAAGTAGCATGGGATTGCCCTTAACCCGAGATCAAAGACAATGACCTGCACGAGTAGAGTGGCCAACATGAAGTAAACTGTCTTATTGCTTGTGTCCTGTAACATATCATTATCACTATTGAGATGACGACGCCACCTAGGTGTGTATTCTAACACAAATATGAGTGAAGGATGAGTGTGTAGAAAGGTGTGAGATGATCTTTGTAGCTTTATCACTGACTAATATCAGCTGTTTCATCTGTCAAGTTCATTTATTGAAAATGCAATGATCAAGGACAGCTGGGTCATGTTTTGAACCATCAAAAACCTACTGACTTCTCAGGATTGAACCGGCAACCTTATGATTGTTATCCGAAGTAAAGGTTGATGTCATAAACTTAAGATAATTGCATTGTTCAATGTAATTTGTATATGAGTACAAAGTCTAAACATGACACAAAAGTCGTTGATAAACAATTTCATATTAAAATTTTAATCTTTCCATGCTAGTTTGCAACTATGTATTGAAAATTATTGTGTAAAAATTGTTTGATTTTTTATGTTTTCCAGTTTTTATTTTTCTTTTGTGGTATAAAATAAGTATTTAGTTAAAAATTATACAATAATTTAATTCAATCATTTTTACATTTTAGTTGCCTCATGATTTACTAACTTGTAAATACACTATTTATTACTAAATTTAAAAATCTTACCTCCAGTAAAGCAAATGCAGCCATGACAAATAGCAGGACTGAAGAGCTGACACAGCTGGTTATGAGCAAAACTCTCCAGGAAACAGTTGTTATCAGTTGTACCAACATGAGCGCGACAATGCAGTTGACAACACTAGCAGTGTAGCCAGCTGCTACGACGTCTGACTCTGATAGTCTAGGCCGGGCTTCGGAGATGTGGTACAACTGTTGACATTGATTAAAATACATGCAAGATTAATCTAGTATAGGGAAATTATTTAAATTGGTATCGGGGTAAGTTTAATACAGATATAGGAATAATCCTTTCTGATTCGTGATTCACATAAGATTTGCAAATAACTTTATGTTCATCGAATACTAAACCAAAACCAGTAGTAATTTATTTACCAGTAGGAGCCTGGCTGATTCCTTTTTTCTATTATATAAAACAATTATGATTTAGAGTACAGTATTATACATTTCAAAATCTATAGAACTAATACTATTAAATTTGTTTGGATTAAATTAATTTTGATAATTAATTAAATGTTTCTTTGATTCTTCACCTGGTCTGATTCCCCTAGTGCTTGGCTGGTGTTGGCCCCACACAGCAATAAGAGCAATATCAGATGCATCAACGGATGAGACGTTTCTTTCTGTAGACATCTGTTATCAAACTCCGCTTCAGCTGAAGCCACATCGCTTCCGCACAGCTTCGCTAGCTCTAAACATAGTCTGTTCAAGTTGACATACAGTTTTGGTCGTCCAGTCATAAATTTATGAGATCAACAAACATGTTTTGAGAAGACGATACTGTGACTTTAAGTATTTCTACGTTTTCTGTTACCATTAAATTACCCAACATTGATAAATGTTCAAAGAAGACCCAGTATATTTCTACACTGTTATCTATTATTATTATAGCTTTTGGTATTTCAATGAGAAATGAGGAAGTTAAGAATTACGATATCAAACCTAATCATTATGTAATTTGAGTCAAGTTTTTACTATTTAATTTATTTTGTTATGATTATAAATAGTAATAACCTGATACAGTAGAGGGTACTCGAAACGATTGGAAATTGGAGGTGTTCAGATAACTGATTTTTTTTAAGATAGTTGTTCATTGAGAGTAAAAATTAGATGCATTATTTTAATTTTAACTTTGGTTGATAATATTTAAATAAATTTTTACAAGTTTTTTTGCTACTGCTCTTGATTGTCTTAACATCACGGCAACACCCATGAGCATATTTTGCAGTCCCCGCCAGAATGGTTATAGTCTCCCACGAGGCCACAACCGCAGCAAAACCCATGGGTGAGCATATCTTGCGGTCTCAGCGTCACCGCTGATGGTCTCTCGTTATTGCAGCAACAACGCTATCCACCTTTCAGTTAACCGACATTTCAGACAACCAGGCTTCTGATAATCGACACTCTACTGTATGAACTGTACTGTACGTTTAGGGGATAAAACAAAGTAAAAAGCAAAACTAATACTACTGGTATTGTACTTAAGAAATCCACAATATACTCACCCAGAGCAGCTAAATTTTTATCTTTCACTATAAAATACAAATATGAAGGACTTTCTGGCACATGTCGGAAGAAGAACCAAGATACGAATAGAAGAAATGCAAATGCAGGCACCAGAAATGAGTGTCCTTTCCCAATTGCTGGAACAATAAAATGTTAACTAACATTATTGAGCGAAGCGAAACGAAGAGAGCAAAGCTCTTACACTTCACTCCTGCTTTTATTTTACAAATACTCCTGAACGGCTGAAGCGATCTGCACGAAATTTAGCATAGTCATAGTACCCAACCATGGAAAGGTGGTTGAATTGTAAATTACTGAATACTGATATCTGTCGAGTACACCAACTATCTTACCAAGTATCTGAAAGGAAAATTTATGGTAAACCATGGTATTTTGTCACAAACTATCTCAGTACCACAAAAGGATAAAATAGAATTTTACACTGTAACACATTCAGTCAGTCACTTGTTCAACCATGTTCTTTTTAAAAGTCAACGGTTGACCACGGTTATAAACATGTCTTGGACTTGGCAGGTTAGGAAATGTTTATTTTCTGAATAATTGTAATGAATGGTAAACACACTTGCCCACCCAAAGCACTGTGTAGACTAAGAGTTTCGCTGAGCATGAGACCAAGGGACGTTCCCACAGTGAAGACGGTTGCTACGGACATCCTGAGTGGGTATGGAGCGAGTTCCACCAGGTACAGAGGAACCACACAGACAGCCACACCTGTTGACAACAATACTGCTCTACAGTAACGCTCAGAGAGTGTATACTTTATCGCACTTACTCTTGGGACTTTTTTTATGTCCAATCTTCACATGCTAGGACGCTAGTTCTAGCCTGGAAGTGTTTTACACATTACTTCAGGCTAGTCCTAGAGGGTCGTGGCATTATCACATAGATAAAATACATTGGTGATTGGCGGGAATTGAACCCAGGACCTCGGACACGGAAGCCTCGTACTCTATCATTATACCAGCTACCAGAAAGCTCCCCCCTTGAGACAGAATACAGGTAATCAATTACCACACTTCCTTCACTATTTATTTCATTTTATGTTTCAAAGCCAGAAGAATTTTTGATTCTTTATTCTTTTCCTAAGGGGACGGTTCAAACCCTAGTCTTGTTCTTACTAACATAGACCTTTTGTAAACGTCCTTAACTAATACCCCGATGAAAAATGGTTGGGCCCAGAACTTACTAAAGCCGCCCTGCAAATATTTTTTTGAACTTTTTCTGCCCAAAATGATGGTTACTTTCAACTGTGGGGGAGTTTGGGTAAATGAAGGCAGTAGTTTTGCGTAAATAGATACAAAAATTGTTAAAAAAAATGTATCAGGTTAAATTTAAATTAGATAAACACATTAAATGAAAACGATATTGAACATTATGCAAGCTATACTTAGCTCATAACCGATCATTTACCACAGTACGGTAACTACAACCATATGACTGAACAGAACCTACCGATGAACAGTCCTAGTATAAGCCAAGCAACTATGAGTATTGTTTCTGACTGCATAAGACTGGCCGCAAGATGTGTCGCTGCCCCAACTGTGCCTATCATCTGACTGACGAGGGTTGTGTACCTCCTGTAACAAAGGGTTACAGTTTAAACGACTCCCTTGAAGAAAAATACTTCACTTAAAAATTCTTGCTTTAACGAAATTTAGAAAAAAAATAATTAGCCATACTCATAGTTATTAGCGAATTTCCCTATAGGGAAGTAGCTATTACCGTAGGTGGCACGGTATGACGTAGACCCGGGACCGATTTACTTTTTCATTTTGATCTCCCCAGAGGCCAAAAACACCATTCGTTCAAATTTTTATATATGTAAAAAAAAAGAATATAAAAGTCATTTGGCATTTTCATCAAGAAATATATATTTATATATATATATATATATATGTCCGTAAACGCGATAACTTGAGTAATTTTTGTCCGATTTTGATGAAATTTGGTTTAAAGGTGTAAAGCGGGATAAACTTGAATGAGTTCGCCAACCAGCATGATCGGACCATGGGAACGGGGCTTTACGGGGGGTTTTATGGGGTAAAAATTGGTTTTTCTCACTTTTGACCCTCAAAACACAAAGTTTCCCAATTTCTCTTTAGACCTTTTTAAGGAGCTTAAAAAACAAATAATTTAGTATATAAAAGTATTTTTGTTCGGTTATTAGTAACGGAGAAAATTTAAAAAATTGTAAATTTAAAATTCCCATGTTATTCTTATGGAGAATATTGTCAAATGTTGTAGTTTGCTTGTTTATGGATATATTTTGATCAAACTTGGCAAATTTATTTATTTTGTACTAAGCTATCATTATTTTACTATAAAACACACTTTATTAGTTTCCTTGTAGCAGCAAACCTAGGTACTCGTTAAACCTAATGTTATTAAAATATATTTAATTGAAAATCAATTCAGACAAATGGAAATTCGCTTAGTCGGCAGGTTTGCTGCGGCGGTGGTATTTAATCTCTGAATAGGTACAATTTGTTACAATCATACATCTCAGTCGTCAAATATGAATAATTACATTTCATAAATAAGATATACAATAATACTTGAATATACAATCCACCAGAAAAAAATTATATTAAACTATACTGTTTTTTTTAGGTAAGGTACTTTCGATGTTATCTAGAGTTTTAGGTAATTTTAGAACTTATGTAGATAGAATGTTTGGTATCACGATTTTTATTGGAGTGTCCACAGTTTTTTTTCTAATTTGAGATGACAAAAAACAAATAAACTAGTAATTTGTCCATATTTATACATGCTAATCAACCATATTCATAAACTTTATACCTATTTATGTAGAGTGGTGATTATTGAACATTGAATAAACCAACGCCTGAAAGATAGCTCCTGACCTCTGCGGATCTCTCCCAATGTCTGCCTATCGTGCTAAAGTTTCTTAAAACATCATACAAAAAAATACAATAACCATTCAAACCTTGCGACCAATTCTGGATTATTGAAAATGTCAGACCAACGGAAACCGGGTTAACAGACTTAGACTTGATTATGAATTGAAAAAAAATCTTTGACCATTTATGATTAGAAAAAGTTGTCATGTTTATCTACAATGGTTTTAAGAATTATTTAACAATTTCTTACTACATCTTATATCTAAGCTAACACAGCACAAAATAAGCTAAAAGCATAGAATGTCTTACCTGCCTGCCCAGTCTGTCAAGATGGCCGACACACCAGTTCCAACGACTCCCCCCACCAGCAACAGTGTGCGGAGGTTGGACATCGGCAGTTCTACCCAAGAGTCTTCAACCTGGGAAGGGTAAATTTGTAAAACGCAAATTAATAAAATAATGTAAAATAAATATATTTTTTATGAATGACACATACAAACATGATGAAACCAGAAAAAGGTTTTTAAGGTTATTGTCACATTAAAAGATAAATAACCATAGACATACTTACATAAAATCTACATTTTTTAGATAAAAGTTCACTTACATGATAGGGGTTGGTGCTGGTTCCACAAATGTAACCGACGGGGATCGAACCTCCGAGAGAGAGGAAGATAACAGACAGGAGTAGCACATGAGACCATTTCCCTGGCTGTAGACATGTCATTCATTAACTTGCTCCAGAGCCAAAACACACACATGAATCTGAGCAAATTCTTAACCCTAGTGTAATTTCCAGAAAAGTCAGATTTTTACAAAAAACTGCCTCAATGATTTTGATTAAAATTTAGTATATTATGGTCCTTTTAACTCTAAACAAAATGGTACATCCCCAAACCTCTATAAATTAAAGTCCAAAAGTTAGCGTACTGCCATAAAGTCTTTTGAGAAATTATTTATCTGTCTTGATAATTAATGAAACAAATGCTGATTCTGACGTGAAGAGTGGGAATGTCAACATTCACATAAACTAATACTTTGATGTGGTGCATCTAACTTTGAAAATTATTTTTCCAGTTAATTGCCAACAAATAAATCACAGATAAGTTCTCTTTTGTAAGACAATCATAAAGTACTAAATACCTTTTTTGTGTGATGAATAGTGTCAGGGGAATGTGTGCAAGTAAAACATTTGGAGTAATATAGTCCTTCCTCCATTACAGTTCTCTGTAAAAACATCAGTTGTTAATTCATTGCTCAATAATCGGCCAAAGGAGATAAATTTAAACAAATTTAGACAATTTAAGATTTTAAGATTTTGATTTTAGATTTTTTAATTCAGACAATTAATTAACTTTAAAAGTCAAATAGATTACTCTAAAGTATTTTTTTTTTTTTTTTTTTTGTAAAAGGTCTAAGCCCACAAAACAACTAACTCTATTATAGGCTACCTTATGTTTCAGAATCCTACTCCTAGTAACTGTATCTTTATAGTACCTATATTAATGAATTTCCTTAGAGTTTTTCTTTAAGTATTACTATTCTTACTTCATCCTTTTCTGATATAGGCTACTCAACGAACTCATCAAATTAAATTGATGAAAAACCTCTACATTAAAAAAAAACTATTGTTGAGTATTGAAAACAATTTAGGATTTAATTTAACAGTCGGAATAAAATAACAAAACTCTTTATGAAGATATTTGTTTGATCAAACAAAAAATTATAATTCTTTTAAACTGCCAATGGTTACCTTATAGGTATCAAATGTTACGTAATCAGAGTTGCGTAATTCATAAATAAATAATCACATAAATAATTGCAGCATAAATATTATTGCGTTTGGTACTTAAAAAGAAAAGAAAATTTCAACTTATAAGTTGAATATTGCTGTATTTTTGTATCTGTTAAATTCTTCAAGAGAAATCCCAAACTTGCAGTACAGAATTTATTCACTTTAACTTTACTAAATCAAGTACATAAATTAATTCTATAAAGACACACACCTAAAGAGATCAATAAAGGTTAACGAGTTTAAATCACCGTTTGAAAAGTACTGATGAATTTTGTTTATTTAACAATTTCACAGAACTAATATTTTTGACAGTTGCTTGAAATGTTGATTTACCTTAACTACTGTTCCATAAATATTTGACTCCTGTTCCATAGCACCTAGATCACGCCGGTTGCACAACTGGGTTGACTCAATGTGTGGGAAAATTAAAGCAGATGTTTTGTGACGTCCAACTTCATCAGGTGTGTTTAAAATTGGTTCCTAAAACCTATTTAGCTTGGTTCTAATAGTTCATTGTCTGTAGTGATTAAAACTCTGAAATTGTTACACTTATATTCTTTTGGGATTTACTTTACAAAATAATATTTTGGAGCATTTGACTTTTTTCTGATCTTAGAAAATATAAAAAGGTAGATTTTATCACTAGGGCATAAAGAATCTCATTTCGATCCGATCTCAAGTTTCCAAATGAACGAGGGTTGCATAATTATTTAAGCAAACTAAGTTACAAAACAAAAATATTTTTCATGTAAAGATAACTCCTCAGTACGACTTCCAGCTTGTTTAACATTTTTTTAATGTCAACAAGCACCTGTTTAGGAAGTGATTTGATCGTTTGATTTCTTACACTATAATGAATACATTACAATATCAATAAGTCAAACTATTGACAAGAATGCTACACTAAGCTGCAACAGATTAAAACAATCGACACCTGCGATTGAGCTGAATTTTACTTTCTAAGGATCAAAAAGGCTTTCTACTAGCTAGGGAGTAAAATAGCTGCTTTAGACCTGCAACACATTTATTAAAAACAGCTGTTTTTGCTGCAGTAAGACGAAAAAGTATTATTTTATCAAAATTGTTGTTTGAGTTTGTAGTCGATGGGTTTTTTTAGTAATGTTTAATTTTTTGTGCCTCCTGAACTCAGGCTGTCAAAAGGAAAAGCTTTATTGGTTATTTGCCTTCCTAAATTGGGTGCATATCTAGCTAGTGTAGAATAAAAGTTATTAATAAGAATAAAAAGTATGATTACACATCTTTAGAACTTACAATAATCAAAATCGAACAATATAGAACACAAAAATTAAAAAAGAAAAAAAACACAAGGTGATGAATCGGTAGCTCAGTGGGTCCACAAGACTTCGGGTACAAGGTATGGATGTCGTGGGTTCGGATCCTGGTATTTGCCACTACTTTTTTAACAGTACACTTCACCCTAGTACAAGATCGGCTCACAACTTGCTTTGCGGAATGCGTTTCACGCACACTTCTGTGGCCTAAGTGGAAAGGCAAATACAAGGTAAAAGAGGCCATCAACTTAAAAAAAGATTGTAAGTAAACCTTGTTACTTAACATTTTAATACGGCTAGGACTACCTTCTCAAAACAAGCAACTTCCCCTCCAAAAAACAAGACTAGCCCCAATCCTCTTGCTAATGCTGACTAAAAATAAAAGCGACTAGGTTAGGTGTCTATGAGTCAAATATATGTAAAAAAATACATACACTAATCATTATAGTACAAAAACACATTTGAACTCTAAACTCTTTAATTTCAACAGTAAATTTCATCAAAATCCAATACAACAAACGTAAAAACACTGAGCAAAAATGAATTGAGCAAGTGTCATTGGAAGATAAACTTCTCGTTGCTGAGTCGTCGCTCTAGTCCGTGAATCTTGACAGTGTTAGAGAAGTGTCTCGCGATGTGAGTCTTGGTGCTCTTTGCGCCGACTGTGGGCCACTGCGCCGACGCCGGCAAGTCAGGCCTCACTCTGATGGTCGCCTCGTTACACATCACCTGCAGTCCTGCAGCCCATGTACATCGTTTGTACAATTCAATTCATTTATTTAAGATAACCAGTTTACAATGATAACTCAATTTAGTACAAGCATTTTTATAATCGACTAGTTAATAGACAGACATCTTTATTGTTGACAAGTAGACAAAAAATAGAAATTACAAGGTTCAACACTCTAGAAACACATTTACGAGCAACATTGAAAAAAATACGTCTAAACAAGGATAAAAACAAGAAATGAGTCATCTTCTGAAATTACTACAAAGAGTTTTTGCATGTTAACGACAAGGTTTGTAAGAGATTACCCAAAACACTGTTACTGCTTAGAAAATGAAAATTATAAATACTTAGGGATGGTCAAGTCTCGAAATTTCGGGAAATTTTCGGGAAATTTTAAATCTCGTTACACGAGACAAGATTTCTTTTTGACCGAGATTTTTATCGAGACGAGAATAAAAAAAAATAAAAAAATTTAAAAAATTTAAAACGCCTGCAGAAAGTCAATGCAATACCCGCAATACAGGTGCGTGTTGTAGTTGCGTTTCCTTTGCGAAGGCGTTCTTATTTAATTAATTCTTTAAATGTAAATATTACTTTAATTATTTTAATAATATTACTTAAATAACATTTGAGAAGTTTTGTTAAGTGTAAGCAGTGTGAGGAATGTTTTATTACTATAAAAAGTCAAAACAAGTAACTATTTTATAAAAATTAATATTGCTTTTATTTTATGATTTATTTTATTTTAGGATAAGTTGAACTCTTCCTAACTGATATCACTATGTTTCCTAATCGTAGGCATTTTTAATAAGTTAGGCGTGATTAATAAAAAAATGTTATGCTGATGTTTTTTAATAAAAGATTGTAAATATTCTTGCCTATTGTCATTATTTTTGTATTTAAACAGTCATCTAACAATGTTACAAAATCAGGTAAAAATTTTGAACGTGCATTTCCCGTTGTGTATGAGAAGGGAAATCCCGTCTCGATCTCGTCTCGAAATTTTATGAGAAATAAAAAATCTCGTCTCGTCTCGTCTCGAACTAAAAATCCAATCTCGTCCATCCCTAAGTACAGTAGAGTAAAACTTCAATGGCTGAAAGGGCGCATGCAAAAAAAGTACATTTCAGAACCTTTAGTTTTAATTGTTGAATATTCCACATATTTAATACATAAAAATTCATCTAAGTAATAAATTGTTATGTTAATAAATAGTCTGATATGTATTAACTTATTAAAATCCATTAAAAAATTCAAGGTTCTGTATAATTCAGCCAGAAAACTCAAAAACCTCTAGTTCTTAAAATTTTTGAGTTAGTGAGGTTTCACTGTGTAATACTATTATTATTATGATCTATTGTTAATAATAAAACGGATAATAAATATTTTAAGAACTGTAGGGAGTAGAGACGATTGAGATAGAGTACAAGTATGCTTACGGAAAAGAGATCTTTCAATGAATCCACAATATCCAAATAAATCAAAAGTATTCAAGGCAAATACAAACCAGGGATAGACGGTTTGAGAGTCAACTTTTGAGGGAACACTGAAGATGGTTTGGCACTTAGACTCTTAGGAGTGTGCCACCTGTCGTTGAAATAAGCTTCAGCCTTGCCCTTGGCATCTGTAAAACACAGTATTGATCAGTCCAGTAACGCTTATATTGCAGCATAGCTGTCATATACTCTGTTGTGGACGATCTGAAGATAGTTTTAACATATTCTGTCTGATAAACATAGATGGGGATGAGGGGCGTTTTTAAATAACGTCAGTTTTTTTAGTAAGGACCGTTTTAATGTATAGCTCCGTAGTTTGCTTGTACACCACAACAAGGGGGCTCTTTGCTCTTATCATCATTTGTGAACAGTACAGCAACATTAGCTCTGTAGTTACAAGTACGATTTGGTGTGTGTTTACATTTGTCTAGTTATTAAATCTCCCACCACATGCAAGATAAGTTCAGTCATACGTTTTTTTTAATACGAGAGAAATGTCCAATGCTGACATTCGTCACCAGATGACCGAAGGTTATGGGCCTATTGCAATGAGTAAGGGAGTGTAAAAATGGCTGTGTAAACATTTTTCCTTATGGTCTTATAAGAGTAAGAGTAAATAAAAATGTTCCTCACAGAAAACAAAATTATACTCACTCAATGAAACAGGCGGTTCAATAACGGTTCCTTTAACTGGCTGACAATTGACTGAGTTTTCTTTCAGTTTCTGCAACAATGAAAATAACCTGCTCTAATACCATAGACTAATCAAAAACTCATTTGAAAAACGCAATAGAATAATTTATTAACAAAAATATTTAAAAAATAACAATTTACTTGACAGTTTTAATTTACAAATTCAATTTTAACAAAACAAACAATTTCACACCTGAGAGTTGTTTGAACAGTTTTCTACGGTGTTCTGCTTCGTTTGTAAGGAACACAACTTTCTCGGAGGTAACGGAGGATGGAAGTTACTCAAACTGTCTTCTCTGTGATCATTTGTCCCTTCGTTGTTTTTCTGTCTATCGAAACTCATGTTTTTCAAAACAGACTTCACCTGGAACAAAAAATTTTTTTTTTATTCTTCGTACTTGATTTTTTTTTACAACGGTAATATACCAGTGTGCATATTTTTAGGTGAACGATGAACGTTGAATGAATGATATGATAGTTTTGTGACCGACTAAGATCAGCTGGTTCGTATGCCAGAATTGGTTTTCATAGATCAATGATCAAGGACATCTGGGTCCAGTTTTGAATTATTAAAAAGACGTTGGCTTTTCTCAGGATCGAACGTTCATCTTTCTGATTACCAGGCGAGCACTAGTTAGTCATACACAAATGAATACCAAGAGGATCTAAGATTACCATTTCAACTATAAATCCAAAAAAAGTATGGGTATTGACGATTTCTAAAAAGATACCTTCCTAACTATTGTTTGGGGTAGCAGTATAATGAAAACAATCCTAATCTGTAATGGCAGCATTACTGAAAGCACCACTCACCTGATCCTCAACTCTGAAACTCCTGACTAGAAAGTCTCTTTGAGCCATCAACGCTTGTCTTTCCTTTTCTTCCTCCTCGATGATTGGCACCGGATCAAAGGAATTGCAAGGAGCTTTCTTTTTCTAAATTAAACAAAAAGATACTTAAAAAAACATAAAAAATATTAACACAAATTTCAACCACTTAAAAGTGATTCAATTATTAGGGTTACAGAATTGGAAGCAAATGTTTGAAGTTGTTCCTGAATACTACTATTTATGACAATTGCAAATACCTGAGAAGTCATGAAACTTGATATCAAGGAATTCTTTTCTTATCGAGTTTTATTACTTTCAAAATAGTTATTTAAATCGCCAAGTCAGAG